ATGCTCCCTCTGAAGGCTCTAAGGAAGAATCTGTGTCATGTCTTTCTTTTCCGATGTTGGCAAAAATCCTTGTGGCTTGTAGACACAGCACTTCGGTGTCTGCCTCTGTACCCACAAGTCTGTGCCTTTTCTTTTCTTATAAGGACAGCGGTCATATTGGATAAAGTCACAGAATTCCGGTATGACTTTATCTTAACTAACTTAACTGCATCTGCATCAGTCCCTCCAAATCAGGTCACATTCTGAAGTTCCAGGAAGGACATGAATGTGTAGAGGAAGGCACTAGCCAGCCCTGTACAGCTAATAAGGGTTGGGAATTCTTACCCCAAGGAAGCTTCCCAGGGATGAGAGGCTACTGCCACCCTTTGATGGCCCTGCCAAGCCAAAATGTATAAAGTCATGACTGCTGCCATTTTGTAACACTCCCATAACCTGAGTTTTGTGGATTTCTCTTTTAACAAAAAGAATCCTTCTATCTAACTGGTTAAAGTTGATGGATATTTTAGGAATCAGTACTTTCCTAGAAATGGTCCTGTCTCAGGCCAGGAATGTAGCTCAGTGGCACCGAGCCTGCCTGGCAAGTGCAAAGTTCTGAGTTTGATCCCTGGTACCAGAAAAAGGGGAAAGAAAAAAAAATAAAAAGAAATGGTCCTGTCTGGGATGCATCTTTTATGCATTTGCTCCACTCAGTCCCACTGTCTAAGAGCTGGCCTGCACCACATTTCCCAGCTCTGTGCCCAGCTTGGAGGCTGGGCTTGATTATCCTTTCTGTGCTCCACAGTCTGGAGTTGCTGTGTGCCTTTGTTGCTTTAGCTAGGGAGGCCCAGGGAACACCACTGGGAAAAGAAAGCATAACGAGTCTAAGCCCCAGGTACCTACCGTTGTGGGGAAGTCACCTGCATTGCAAGACACAGACCCCCTTTGGCCCTCAATTGTGCCTGGGGAAGAGCAGGGTCTTCTCTACCTTCCCTGCTTGGATGTCCTTGTTTCAGGAGCCTCATCTTTTGAAGGTGGTAGAGCAACTTGCTAGGATCTTGGTTAGCTGCTTTCCTGTGAATGATTGATCTAATCATGCCAGTAAGCCCCAGCAGGAGGACAGAAAGTGCCCTGGTTGCCCTGCTGGGAAACAACTGGCCATTTGCAGAGCAGGGAAAGGGAAGAAAGAAGCTCCTGACACCTGCCTCGTGCCCCGAGGCCTTCATCTCACCCCCCTCTGTAAGCACTCTGGTTTGGTTCCCTGGGTCACTGTCCTCCTCTGTGACCCATGTCTTTGTCGACCTGAGCTCTTGAACAGAAGTCGGGGCATGTGGGCTCCCACTTGACCTGCCGTTCTCTGGCTGCCCAGTGGTCTCAGCCCAGATGCTCCCTGGGCTAAGCCTCAGCCCTCCTGCTGAGGTGAGGACACAGGGTGGTGGGGTCTGCAGCCCCCCTCCAGTGCAAGCAGTCTGGCTCTTCCCTCTTCTTGGCCAGGTTGATGTCTGAGACAGGGAATGAGGTGATATAAACCATTAGGACATGGTAAAATACTTCCAGAGAAGTCCTGCAAAAAGGCACTCACCGTGAAGGGTGTGAGTTGGGGCTTACTACCTGACCCAAGTCACTGGCTGGCTTCACAAAAATCAGGCATGCCTCTTCCTGTGCTGCAGCTTACCTCCCGGGCCAGTTTCTTCGAAGTCCTTTCAATAAGACTTGCAATGAGACACAGAACGGCTGGGGGAGCTATGGTGTGGAACACAGACTTGGAGCCTGGGCCATGTGGGCTGGGGCCTCAGCTCTACCACTTGCTCACTGTCAGACCATCCCATTCCAGCCTCAGTTTCCTAGCTTCCTCCCCTATAAAATAAGGATGCTAAGGATACACAGGTTGCATGAGTTATTTGCCTAGTTCATTAAAAAAAAATTCTGATACCTTGTATTGGCCTCAGCAGCCATTGCCATGGTCAGTATGGTCGTCGTTGCTATCTGCTGTAGGATGCCCACTGTCTTTCCTAGCTGCGGCTTTGCTGACCAGTGGGAAGCTGCCTTTTCCAAGCTGGCTTCTGGAGCTTCTGGGACCCTGGTTGGGTTTGGATACATTTCACCCAGCAGAAGTACCAACTTCCTGCAGAGCCAGCCTGTAGTGCAAATGAATGAGGCAGAGTAGAATCTGCCTACAGTGCGATCTACAGAGGTGGGCAGGAAGTGAGTAGTATGGGACAAACAGAAAGCAGTGTGCACCCCAGAGAGAGAGAGAGAGAGAGAGAGAGAGAGAGAGAGAGAGAGAGAGATTAGCATCTGGCCAAGCAGAAAGTGCAGGCATTGAACCTAGACAGGAAAAATGGGCAGAAAGACCTTCAGCAGGTAGAGGGCGGGTACCACATGCATTTTGTGCTCTAACTAGCCTGTCACTCCCAACTGCTGCCCAGCAGAGGCAATCTCTCCAGTTCACCTCTGCCTTCCCCCAGACACCACTGTCACGAGGCCCCTCTTGAGAGGGAAAGTGAGGCACATCTTTACCAAACACTGCCACTGCACATCTGAGCACCCTACAGTGACCCTCATTGGCCAGCTGTTAACAGCTGGTGCACAGCATGTGATCAGAAGCCAACAGCTTACCACTTGGGTGGCTCTGATAGCAAGCACATCGAGTAGAGACTCCTACTGACCCTCCTCCGTTCTCCTCCCAGGGACACCATGGGGGATGTTAGGACCCACTGCCTAGGAACCCAGGCCCTGAACTGTCAGGAAATACATCTGAGTCAATGAGGAAGAGCCTGTTCAAGATCTAGACACTGTCTGTCAGAGTAGCAGCTTGGTAGGAGCTGGTTACTGTTGGTGCTGCTGCTGCTGCTGTTGCTGCTGCTCCAACATCTGATCTTGGCCAAGCCCTTTGCTTCCCTTAGGTCTCAGTTTTCCTAGCTGAATGTTCAGCTGTGAGCCTGGATAAAACAGGCCTGACCTAACTTGTCATTCTGACCAGCAACAGGCAGCACGGACAAAGGTGATTTCTGTGTCACAGATACTGAAGGAAAAGCTTCCAAAAATAGGTGACTCTAAGGGCAGGAAGCTAAGATCTACTCCTCCCCAGAGAAGAGTCTAACTGACCTATGCCATCTCAACTCTAAGCTGGGGAATGTAATGGTGGCAGGTTCCTTGTCTTCCTTTCTTGAGATTTGTGCAACTCACCAAAAAGGCTGTGGCTGCCCCCAGGGCTGAGAGCCCACCTGGGACAAGAGGTAGATTGCAGAGGAGTAGGGGCAGCCTCTTAGTGGACAAGGAAGAGGCCAAGGCTCTGGCCAGCCTGTTGAGGACACCAGGGTGGATGGAATGGACTGGGCCAGAGCTAGTGCCCTTCCCCTCATCCCTAAACCCATTTATAATGGGGAGCTAGAGGGCCAGGGAGAGGCTCAGGAGAGAACATGACACCTTTTCTGATTTTCTCCATGGCAGACCTGAGAGACAAGTAGTAGTAACTAATGGGCCTGTGAGCCTCGGGCTATTTCATTACCCAGCAAACCTCCCTCACCATCTCAGCTCTTCAGTAAAATGCTTCTTTCCCAGCCCCACCCACCCCCCATTCCTCAACCAGCTCTTGGGGTCTTTTTCAAGAGCTGCCTGCTAAGGATCTGGGGCTTATTTTCAGACACAGGACTAGGGCTCAGGCCCCATCATCCTGCACTGCATCCTGGATGATGAAACCTTATGGTACTCAGGTAGACTTCCTGCTTCCATTGTTTCTTAAACGAAGTGGAATTTTCTAGAATTTAATGGGAAAGCATTGTGCTCAGACTATTGGTGGCAGTACTAATTCTGCTCTCTTCTCTCAAAATATGCATCTCTTTTAAATTTTATATCTTGAGTTACAGATTTCTTTCATCTAAAAAAAGTCTTGCTGATTATTTCTGAAACAAGGCATTTCAGAAACCCCTTAGCAGATCCAGGCTCCAGGACTCACAGGGAGCTGTCAGCCTCTTTGTTGTCTTAGTAATGCGAGGCCAGCTGCTCCCAAACGTCCCCATGGCCCTGCACCCCTGAACACAGGTTGGGCCAGCAGGAAGGGGAGCAAAGAGTACATGAGCAGCTGTGTGAGAGGTGAGAGGGAGGTTAGGAATGGGGAGAGAGCCTCCTGGCCCCTTTAGGGAAACCCCAGCAGTCTGGCACTAAGAGGGGACTGGCAAAGTGGCCTGACATGATTTCACTTCTCAGAGCATCAGTTGCTTTGTGTTTCCCTGGGGATGATGCAGACTCTACCCGGAAGCCAGTGTCTGCACACAGAAGGTATTCCATGAGGAACAGGTAGTCCCTGTTTCCACAGGGAAAATGGGTGCATACCAGTAGGAGGATTGGCCAGGCAGGGGAGGGGACAAGGGAAAGGAAAGTTCAACTATGACCTGGGTGCCTTCAGGCAGGCTTTGGAAAAGGAGTGACATTGGTCTGGGCCTCAAAGGGGTGAATAGGGTGAGACCTCAAGGAGGTAGAGGAAGTATGAAGTTCCAAGCAGTGGGAACACCATGGGATAAGCCCCAAGCAGAAGCCCCCAAGCATTTTCAGGGAACAGGGGACAGTTGATATGGCTGGGGAATATACATAGGGGAGAGACAGAATGGGATTGGCCCAGAAGGTGTTGGTCACCCTGGGTGGGTCTACAAGGCTGGGAAAGGAGCCCAGGCTCCATTCTGGGGGGTGTCTGTGCCCACTGAGCAATCTCTGCCTCTCCACCTAGTTCAGCCTACCATTGCCTGAGTGCTGCAATATAGAGGAGCTGGTGTAGCATCTGCAGCCTGGCCCCCTTCAAAGCCTAGTCCAAGTTCTGTCTTTCAGGCTGGTTCCCCACCCCTCCAGTGACTCAGGTAAGCCTGTGCTGGCTGGGCAGGTCTGGACAGGCTCCTCGTTATGGCCAGAAGCAGCTTTGGGTACTACCCAGGAAGTGATTGTTTTGATGGCACTACGTGCTCTGCCCAGTTTGGCCCAGGCTGTCCTAGTTCAAATGACAACCACAACAACTCTGTTTCCCTCCACAGATGACTCTGGGGATGACGACGAAGGAACTGCCTCCCCAGCTGACAAGAGTGAGCTCCAGCACACACTTAAGAACCTCACCCTGAAGTTAGATGACCTCAGCACATGCAGTGATCTCATTGCCAAGCACGGAGCAGCACTCCAGCGCTCCCTGAATGAGCTGGACAGCCTCAAGATCCCCCCTGAGAGTGGTGAGAAGCTGAAAGTTGTGAATGAGCGGGCCACCCTCTTCCGCATCACATCAAATGCTATGATCAACGTGAGTGCCCACCCCTACTGCCATCCAGGCATAAGGCTCCCCAAAGGGAGGGGGCTCTCTGACAGCAGCCCCATGACCCCAAATCAGTAGCCATGGGTTCTTGGTAGACCATAGCTCCAACCATTTCCTGTGGCTCTGAGTCATTTTCTAAAGTACCCTCCCACACTCTGCCATCAACTCTATATCAGCTTCACACAATCATTGTTGGGTGAGGATATTCTTTTTAATTGTCTAGTGGAAACCAGAATTGACTATAGAATCTGGTGAGGCTCACAGGTGGTTCACAGGGCTCCAAGTTGAGAGGCCAGCCTGGTGTGCTACCTTGGCCCACATAGTACAGACATGGCTACCATACTGGTCCTGGCATTTGCTCCTGCTTCTGCCCTGGGTGCATCCCACAGGTGCAGTGAGATCTGAGGCCACATCACCATGGCAGAGGGGGCAGATGTATGTTGGGGGGAGGGGGCTGGGATTCCCTTAGTTGGAAGAGCATTGGAACTGTACTTGCCAAGGGTTGTGCCAACCTGATAATAGCTATAGAAACTGAGCAACTGCAGAATGCAAACTAAGGCACCCTCCTTGGGTTTTGGAAACCATGTTGCTGTGACTGGGAACCAGGAGGGCTTCTGTGTAGCAGGAATACAGCGTTTAACTATGCTTTGGGCTCTTCCTCTTCCTGCCTGGCGAGCAACCCCCTTGGGTATATCTGCAACAGCCTCCTCCCAAGGACAACCTCTAGAGGGGCACATCCACCCAGTAGATTTCAGACACAAGGAGCCTTGGTGGCATGATGGGAACAGGGGTCCAGGGCAGAAGATGTGTGCAGAAGTGGAGGCCTACACAGGGGAAAGGTGAGGCCCACAGAATGTGGCTTAGGAGGGTCATTAGGCTGGCTGGAATCAATGGGCAGTGGTTGGGGGACCACATCTCCAAGGTAGGGGTTGCAGCAGACCCAGGCTGGGAGTTGGCACCAGGCTCCAATCCTGACAAGAAACTCAAGGGTAGGGTGGGAAGATAGAAAATGGAGCCCCCTGCAGGCCAATGTCCCCAGGTATCCAAGGATTTGCTTTACCAGCCCTAGGCCTGCTTTATCAGCATGATTTTGAGGCAGGACGGCTACCCCCACACCTGGCCAGACATGCTCAGGTCTGGAGTGCCTGCCTGGGTGCAGCTTCAGGAATTCCTACCCTGGGGCCTAAGGCTGAGTGAGGAGCACCCTCTTCCCAGACTACGAGGAAACATGGCCTACAGATGTGTGTACCTTTGTCCATCCCCAGATACTACAGTGCCCAGGGCTGTAGCTGGCACTGTGTACAGAGGATGCTGAAGGGCTGTAGCTCTGTGGCCCCCCTGGGTGTTGGCCCTGTCATTGGTCTATGCCCATGTTCTCTTCCATCCACACACTCTCTTGGGGCACTGTCCTCCTTTTAGCTTACAGATGCTATAAGCCCAGGTACCTGTATTACCAGTGTCACACCCAGATACTGAGCACTTAAGGACATAATGCTTATGCTATGTTTGTGCTTCCCTAAACATCTGGAACCTCATGCCTTCCCACAGCTTCCCTGGCACTGCCTTCCACTCTAGATGAAGCCCTTTGGCCTTGAGGAAGCAGGTTTGACTTTTTCAGTTTTATTATAAAAATGCACACAACGAAGATTGTCATTAGGTCACTTCCTGGCTCTACTTGCATTCAGCACTTGCTCTTGAGCGGCCTTCTTTGCTTTTACCATCTCAACAAGTTCCTTACATCGTTTCATGCAGTCCTTCTTTGTCCAGCCAGGAACTGCTTCTGCAATTTTTTCCCACCTCTCAGGTGTGTTTACAGGGTATGTTTTCAGAGCTTGTTCCAAAAGCTTCTGTTCTTCTGTTGTCCAAGGGGTGAAATCTGTGCACGGACCTTCAGATCATTCTGATGGTATTATCTGCATTATCTGCTTGAGGTACCACTCCATGTTCTTTTCTAAATTTATCAAAAGCCTTTCTGTTTATGTCATCTTTTTGATGAGGGTCAAGCTTCTGGAGATTCTTGCTTTGCCAATAACATCTTTGGCTGTTCTTTTGACACCAGAAGAAGAATGTATGTTCATGTAATTAGCAATAACTTCCCATCTTGAATTTGTTCCAGCAGGGAAGAGAGTCACAGCTTTAATTAGTAACTGCGGATCATCTTCTGACCAGTTTTTACTGCTACTCCCACCTCCTCCAGTTGACTTCTCCACATTCTTAGACGCTTGTTGCATGCGTGCTTCACCTTCCTCTTTGTCTTTTCTAATTTGCTCATTTATTTCTTCTGTTTTTCCAGCGCAGCCTTTCCTACTTCTTTTGTAGATGATATGAGTGTTTCATTCAAGCACTGCAAACTTGCTAGTTTGAGCCCATCACAGAGTTTCTCCACTTCTTCCATCATTTTAACCTGTTTCGCCTCCTTGTCCAAGCAGTGATTCCAGGTCTTGCATGAGTTCTGAAGTTTTTGCCTTTCCTTTTTAATGGCTTTTTTTCTGGATGTCTTTTTCCTTCTTTGCCAGTAATGATTGCTGTCTCACTTCTTCTTCTTCTTTCTCCTTAGCCAACCGAGCAGCTTCTAACTCAGCTTGTCTTTTTCTTTAGCTTCTTGCTCTTTCCATTTTGCTTCTGCTTTTGCTTTCTTTTCTGCTCCTTTCTTGGCTTTTTCTTCTGCCTTAAATTTTTTTATCCTTGGATCACAGCTATAAGCATTGTCAACTAATGTTCTTATCCTGTTCATTTCTTCCTTTTTCCTTTGTGCCCTTGTTGCTCTGCTCTGCTTTTCAATCCATCTTCTCTCATCACGACATTCTGCTTTTGCTTTTTCTTCTTCATCTAAATAAGAAAATTCTCTCCAAGAATTGCTTTCAAACACTGGACAAAACACTTCAAAGAAATTGTCCTTTGGTTCACTTTTAGATGAAACTGAATTATCAAAAGTAGGATCTACACTATTAAATGCTTGTCTTTTCACTGGATCAGATAACATTTCATAAGCTTTAGTTGTGCAGGTGAAATAATCATTATCTCCTTCTTTTATTGGTTTACCAGCTGCTTTCCATTTGTCTGGGTGATGTTTTAAAACCATTGCTTTATGAGCTGCTTTGATCTGTCTCTGTGTAGCTTTTTGTACCTTACATGGCCAAGTCCAAGAACTGCGTAATGATCTTGGTTCTTCCAGTCTTTAGGGTCAAGTGTTTTCAGCATGAGAAATTCTTCTAACTGCAATTCTTCATCTTCTCATTCCTCCAATAACTCTTTCTTATCCTCCAGTTCCTGGAAAGAGGCAGAAGCATTTCTGTTTCTCCTCTTAACAAAAGCTTCAAACCATCTTCCCACAGGTTCAACTTGACAGAGTGCAGAAGCCGAGGTCAGCACGCAGGTGACGGCGGTGCCCTGGCCGTCCGCGGTGCTCAGCACCAGCAGCATGTGGGCGCTCTGCCTTGGCCGGTGGGCGCCTGACTTTTCTAAGATATTGAGCCTCACAGCTTGCTGAAGCCAAGCACACCATCTTTTAACAGGCATCAGAGGCTCATCTGTGTTTATGAAGCTATAAAACAGCTCGAGGTTTAAGTGCATAATGAATTTATTTTATGGGAAGCACAGCCTCCTGGGGTTGGTTACAAGGCCTAGTTCCAGTCTGGGCTCCAGGGAAACACTTGGGTGACAGGAGCTGCACCCTTTCTGCTGGGCTGTATGATGGGCTGGTATGAACCTGATGTAAGGGCGTCTCCCTTAGAGGAAGTGAGGGCTGTCCCAACTGGCTGAGCTTGTTGTCCAGGCTGACTTAGGGCCAAGCTTCTCCTGGGAACCCTCCCCAATAGTGGTTTCTCACCTGACAAGAACTGGATCCGTTCTGGGGGTGAACACGTGGTGTCCAGCCCCCCCCCCACCGGTGTGACAAGGGACCATGCAGGAAAGCTGGCTTGATTGTCATAGAACACAAGGGTCACCCTGGTGAAGCCTGGCTTCCTTGTCTGTTATGAAGAGAGTGGACCAGGGATCTATAACTAAGCCAACCATGAATCCTCCACCCCCACTTCCCAGGGACCTGTTCATGCACTGAGCTGTATTGTTAGTTCCAGAGTAGAAAGTGAGCTCAGAGAGGCCACCTGAGCTGTCCAGTATCACCAAGCCTGGATGTAAACCCAGATTTGTATGAGGAACTGGAAGAGTGATAGCTGCTGAGCATGTGGCCCCTGATGGAGTAAAAGTTCCTCTCCTGCTGTAACTACACTCTGAAGTCAGGATATGGAGGGGTGGCCTCACAACTACCCAAGGTGGGATCCCAACCTCAGGACCTATGTTATGACTGATGGCACAAATTGCCATCTCCCAATCCCTGCAGATGTCACTGAAAGCAGCAGCTGTCTCGCCTCACTATGGGGATCACATTGCATCTTCTCTACCCCACTCTCCACCCCCATACTGACTGTGATATGGACCAGGAAGCTTCCAGCAGCCCACACTTGACTTCTGGAATCTATTCCCACTGACCTCTTGGATGGATGAGGCCCCTGCTCGATGCTCCATTCAGCCCTGGTGAATAGTTATATGTTTTCCACCTTGAAGGCTGTGGTTGAGCCTAGGTCACAATGGAACAGGAGCAGAAGTAAGAGCTGCCTGGCCAGACAAACCCCACAGGGAAATGAGGAGCAAGCAGCTACCTGGACAGGACCCCATTACTTCATCCTCACTTTTCCCCAAGATGGCAAAGAATCTGGCCTGTCCAGCCTTCAGGAGAAAGGTCATGGGGACAAATTTTAAATCTCCTTTAAATTTTAGGAAGAGTATCAATAACATAAGCCTTTTGGTCCCAAGCTACCAGCAGGACAGGGGAAGGGGAAAGAGGTCCCTTGGATAATTTCCAGAGCCAGGGCTCCATAACAAGTAGCACAGGCTTCTGCTATGTGCCCAGTGCCCCCGAGGGGCAGGGCAACATCATCCCCTCTTGTCTGGTAGGGCCTCTTCTGTTTGAGGGAATTTTATGCTCC